TCCCTCCCTCCCTCCTTCCCTCCCTCCCTCCCTCCTTCCCTCCCTCCCTCCCTCCCTCCCTCCTTCTTTCCCTCCTTCCCTCCCTCCTTCCCTCCTTCCAGTTCGGGGATGGAGTGGGGCTCCAGGGAGAGAGCTGTAAGAGTTTGTTAAAGAAAAAATAAGCTGTTCAACTTGTAACCTCCCGTCTCTGTGCGTTGACTGCTTCATGTTCTCCCGGCCTTTTTCCCAAGCGAACTACAGATGCTAAGTCGCTGGGGTTTATGTTTAGAAATACCACTTCAGTACTGCTGTAAAAATAACAGAACTGTGTTTTGGTTTTAAATAAACTCAGACTCGTGGTAATAATTGTATTTGAAGAAACTGGAAGTGGTCTGGTTCTCTTTTCCTTCTAGGAAAATAGAACTGGCAGGGGTGCTTGTGTTTCAGGAAACATATTTACTCAAATGTGACACTTTCCTGGCAAAAAGGGGAGGCGGGGCCCAAGAAGTCCCTGATAATCCAGAATGCTGGCTTGGAGAGGTTGGCTTCCCTCTGGGACAGACTTGGCTGTGAAGGGCCAAGTCCTGGGCCCCTCAGCCAGGCTGGACGGGAGACACAGCAGCCACGCCTTCCGTGCTCAGTCCTGCCCTGTCAGTAAAAGACGTGACCCATCACCGTGGGTGTGTGTACATTCTGGGAAGGCACCGCACTGCAGAGAGGAAGGTGAAGCCATGGCAGCGACACACAAGCTAGTTAAAGGAAGAGACGTCTCCAGCGCCCACCAGGAGCTCGTTGCCTGCATCCTGGCTCAGGCCGCCTTGAGCAGACCTGATGCGCCCGCAGCTTCTCCCCCGGGGAGAAGGTGGCTCTAGTCCCGTGGGGGGGGGTCACTGCGGGGCCCCACCTTCCTATCAGCAGCCCCAACCCCCACAGCCCAGGGGCCGGGCCCTCGGGCCCACCAGCTCCTACCTGCAGCCTGGGGTCTGGGTTGGGCCCGACGGATGGAGCGCCTCGCGGTTCAGCCAGCAGCAGGTCAATGACATGAATGATTTGACTTGGAACCAGCGTACTGAGGGGGTGGGGACCACGATACAACGGCTCTTCTGGAAGTCGAGGCCACCCCGAGCGGTCACGGCCTCCACGGTGATGGGCACTGCACAACGGCCCTGCCTGGCACTGCAGAGGCCCGCCCGGCCCCGAGGGTGCGCCTGGCGGCGGCCACGCTGAGGCACTTTCCTCCTGCGCGCGCACGTCCTGGAGACCTGGGACCACAGGCAATTTTGTTCTCAGCGTGGGGCCCGGCTGGCAACATGACTTCCCGGAAAGCGCAGCTCAGCAGGCTTTTTGGTCGATATGCTTCCGTCCACGGCGCGAGCAAGAAAGCCTTCAGGTCCCCAGCTGGCGGGTTTTCCTCTGCGAGTTTTACAACCTGCTTATTAGGCTTTTGTGATCAAAAGTGGCAACAGACGCTGCTCCGAGGCCGGCACCTGGGCTGGGCGGCCAGCGCGGTCACAGTTGCCATCCCAGTGTGAGAGGGACCACAGGCTTCCAGGCCAGGATGCCTGTGTGTAACTTAAGCCGTTCCCTCACCTGTCAGCGTGGGCTGGGGTTGGTGTCAGGCCTGGGACACAGGACCAGCATGGCCCTCGAGGTGTGATCTCCGGTACCCAACTGCCCCGTGACTCCCGTCCCTGCCACGTGCTGCTGGGACAAGTCATGAACTTCTGTGAGCCCGTGTCCTCACCTGTGAAGTGCAGATACCCACCTCGTAGGGTTTGCTAAGGAACACAGGTGAGTTAGGATGTGTAAAGTCCTTAAGCCGGCACCTGGCATAAAATAACAGAAATGTGTTAGGCCAGCAGCACCGTGATCAGCCATCACTGGCATAGCCCCATTCCCTCTGCACCCACCCGTTTGTCTAGTCATGAGTGTGTGATACAATTCTAGACAATGAGACATTAGGGGAGGTCAGTGGAAGCCAGACTTTCTGAAAGGTTTCCTTTTACCTTAAAAAAAAAGACGCAGAAGAGACAACCCCCCTATACACCCACACCTTAGCCTGGACATGGTCATGTTTGGATGTGATCCCTGGAATAGTGGCAGTTATTTTGTAAGCATGAGGCCTGATCCTGGATGGCCAGGTGGGAGGAGCATGCATACCAGGACAAAAATGGGGCTCTGCTAAGCAAAGGAGAGAGAAGAAAGCTGCTGGGGAGGCAACCTACACATCCAAAGCCCACACAGCCCTATGGTACCCTGCCTGGTTTTCGACTCTATGATCCCAGACCCCATCCCTCACCCCAGGAAACTGGGGGATGATTAAAGTGACCTTGAGCTTGGAGAGGCAGCTCCCTTGTAATAAAGGTACTATGATTAAACAGAGCGGTACATAGGAGGGCTCCGGTTTGCAGTAGCGTGTAAAAGACTTGGGAGGTTAGGGTATTAGCTAAAGCGACCCGGCCCTCAGTAGGCTGGGCTGAAGCTGCGCGCGATTAAGCCTGAGAACCTTGGTGCTACCTGGCCCCAAGGTCGCTGAATTTTTAAACCAATAGATCCTAGAGCCTACACCCTAAACAATACAATGGCATTCATCCCACTTTGCTTTTCAGCCACCGCCAATTCAACCTGTTTTTAGAGCGGCTGAAAAACGTAATTCTGAACCCAGTTCGGGAAGATTTTTGGCAACGACATCTTACGTCCAAGCGCAAGGAACGATAACAAGAAACCCGACAGTGAAAGATCAAAAACAGGCTTGCTTTATTTATACACAGAACAACGTATTTACAACTCCAGATGTGGATATGTACATAGCGATACAGGAGGCGTTTGCTTCCACGGTGGGCGCTGTATAAATTAAGATCATAAATATGGGGGAAGCCCCACCAGAGGGCACAAAACCTTTTCTCCAAGACTCCAGGGATCCCTCCTCCCTCCCTCTACACTGACAGGACCGTGAGACCCCGGGGACCCCTGAGGGACAGCCGTCCAGCAGCACGGCGGGGGCCCAGAGGGCAGCCCCACGCGCAGCAACACGCACCACAACGCGCGTGAGACACCGCCCTGCAGACGCGGCCTCGCGCAACGCTCGTGTTTATTCCACTCGCTCTCACTACCCTCAGAAAGTGGTTTCACGTAAACAGTGTTGCTCTAATCACTGACGACGTTACCTTTAAACACCACGCTTGACCTAAACCTAAGGCTTTCCCAAGGGAGGGCGCTGAGGGCCGCGGTGGCCCCGTAGCACCGGCCACCAAGCCCCGCGTGCGCCCTCCTCCGCCGAGTCCCGCCTGTGCGTCGGCCTGAAGGCCTCAGAGCCCGGGGTGCCCCCCGGCCCGAAGCAACAGAGCAGACGGCGTCTGGCACCGCGGGCCGGGCCAGCCTGTTCTACTTTGAAACCCAGGGACTTGGGGCGACTGGGTTTCCTCCACCCCCCTCCACCCGCTGCGGAGGCTCTGATGGGCGGGAACCTCGGGGCGCGGAGAGAGACGCTACAGCTGGGTGGGTCGCGGCCACCCCGCCCCCCGCGGGGACAAGCTGGCCTGGGGCAGGGCCTCGGCCGAGCTCAGCGCCGGGAGGCCCGCCAGAGCGCGTGCGAAGCGAGCGGCAGGTCAATGCTGCTCCGCCGCGCGCCCCCATGGACCCCCTCGGGACGACAGCGCCCCCGCTCCCGGGCCCCTCGGGACGGCGGCGCACAGCCCCCGGGAGGCGGAAGCGTAGAAAAGGGCCAAGTCCCAGGCAGTGAGGACCGGGGTACCGCCGGGGCCGTTCCCGGCTCAGCTTCGTCCCCGCGGAGGGACGCCGACCTGGCGGCTCCGCCCCGGGGTGAGAAACTCTGGGCGGCCCCTGACGCCCTTGGCAGCCCGGGAAGCCTCCTCCACACAGAAAACACGGACCAGCCTCTGTCCGCGGGGAGACGACAGGCCAGGCGTCCTGGGCACAGAGGGGACCCCGCGCCCGCGGCCCAGGGACGAGGGGCCAAGACGGTCGGGGCGCGAGCTCGTCAGCCCCAGACCCTAACTACCGTCTGCTCGGCTTCAGGGGGACCCAGCGTCGCCTTCGTGTCAAAATGAACCGGCGGGACGGAAGGCAGCCAGGCCGCGCTCACACCAGGGCACTCAGACGCGCGGGGATACAGCGCGGGCCGGCGGGGGCGGGAGCCGGTTGGTTACCCGCGCTGCGCCGCTGAGGGCACACGGAGGAGCCCAGGCCCGGGACGGGGCGGGAGGCGGCGTCGGCTGGAAGGTAGCTGTGTTGCGGGTCGGGACCCGGGGCCCAGGCCGCCGGGCCGGGTCGGCGGGAGTAGCACCATGAGCGGCGCCGAGCCGGCTCAGTCGCGGGAGGCGCGGGGGACGCAGGCCCAGAGGGCGGAGGCTAGGCCTCGGCGGCAGGGGTGCTGCGGCTCAGCTCCTTGATGCCACACAGGATCCTCTTCATGTGGCCCACCTTGGTCACGCCGAGGTCCTGCAAGGAGAGGACAGCGCTCAGGCCTCGGCGCGATGCCACCCGCGTCTGAACACGAGTGAGGGTGAAAGCGACAACGGGGGACGCGGCCGGAGACGGCGCCCGAAACCAGCAGCCCGCGGCCGCCCGCCACGTCCCGGTCCCTGACGGGAGCTGTCAAGGGCACACGGAGCAAAACACAGACAAGCGAGGCGACCCGAGGGCGCCACTGTCCCGACGCCCTCGGCGGCCTCTCAGCCTCTCCAGACGGGATACGGCCTGAGCGGCACAGAGAGCCAAGTTCCGGGAGCCCCGGGTCAGGCCGCCCCGCGTCCTCCCGAGGGGAGGGAGACGGGCGAGCGGGGCCACTGGGGGAGCCAGAAAGCGGCCAACTGGGGAAGGAACCCCGTCCGCTGGGTCCCCTTCACCCGGATGGCTGTCATCACAGAGAACACTTCAGCTTGACTAGCGGAGGGCTGCATTCCCCAAAGGGTTTTTAACGCTAACATGGCCCACTGTCCAGTTAGGCTAAGAGAGCGAGACTCCCCAGCAGGTGAGACATCACATCTGGGAGCCGCCACGCATCACCCCCAGGTCGCATCACCCCCAGGTCGTCACCCCGGGTCACGCACAAAGGCCTGAGAAGAACGGTGAGGAGACTGCTGACACTGGGACAAGGCCAGGTCAGAGGGAGGGGACAGGGGAGCCGCGGGGAGCGCAGGTGCGCCTTCCCAGGAGACGCTGTGGAAGTACCTTGAGGTCCCTCCGCTCCAGGTGCAGGAGCTCTGAGCCCCGGATGTCGTGCCGCGTGAAGATGTCCTTATACTCACAGAGACTGAGGTGCTCCAGCCAGGCAGCAACCTCCTCTGTGCCCCAGAGGTGAACTGTCAGAGACGGAAAAGCACGAGTGCAATGAGTGCCCAGAGCCCAGCGCGAAGCAGGCGGCGGCCCGCGCCCGAGACACCCCAGCAGGCGGCGCCCGAGATACCCCAGCAAGCAGGCACCCAAGACACCCCAGCAAGCAGGCGCCCAAGACACCCCAGCAAGCAGGCGCCCAAGACACCCCAGCCCCAGGTGCCGCCCCAGGCTGTGCAGAAAGAGAAGGGGAGCTGCTGCAGAAGCTGCTGTCTGTTCCTGCCAGGTCACCGGCAGCCTTCTGCGCCAGGAGGGGCACATGGGTCTGACTGCGGCTGAGGTCAGCTTCCCTCTCCCTTCTAGAGGGGTCCATTCCACTTCCAGCCCACAGCGGGAAGGGAAACATACGCAGAGATTCCATGAAGTCAGAGCCACCATCATTCAAAGAAACCCAATTTCTGGACAAACATGCGAAGAAGAAAAATCAAAGGGAGCTACCCTTACTGGCAGCAAATGCCACCCCCAAATCCAGGTTTGGGGCCGCCCAGCACCTGAGAGCCTGGGGGCAGCTGTGCTCAGGGCCGACACTTTGAATGGAGATTCTAAAGCCCCAGTTTACTGACCCAGAGGAGAAACATCCTTTAGTGCCATTTTCTATTGATTTCACGGCCCAGGGCCACTGGCAGCCCAGGTTCCCGGCGCAGGGGCCTTGATCAATGAACTGATTAATGGGGGACGAGCAGCCCCGCAGAGGAAGCAGGCACAGGGGGGCCAATGTGTGGCCGGAGTGTGAGATGTGTCTCTGTCTTGTCACCTCTGCTGTCTCCTCCCCACCTCGCGCCCCAATCTAGCGCAGGCAGGCGGCTCGGTGGCCTGTCTGTCACCCTGAATCTGCACCAGGAGCAAGTTCAGGGCAGGGCGTGACACCAGTGAGCCTCCCACGTGGAGCGGGAAAGCCGGGGTGCAGTTCT